TGCTCGCTCAGGGTGGCCCGATGAAACTAAAATTAACTGGCTGCTTTCTGAGCAGGCTTTGAAAATGCGAACAGCTGCCTGTGCCCAGAGTTATTAAAAAAGAAGAAAAAGAAAAAAAAAGGGGGAACTAAAAACCACAGCGTCCGGGTACATTTGTAGAATGAGCTTCTTGCGTAGTTGGGATGTTCGTGTTTGTGCGCCATCGCCTCCCCCAGCGTGGGGGGGTTTGATTTGTTATCGCAGCATGACCGTTGCTTTTTGCTGGCAGAATAAACGCTTTATTCATGCAGATCTAAGCCCTAGCTGGGGGAAGGCAGCTTTTTTTGAAACGTCCAGTGTTACCTAAGCAGAGAGGAGAAATTTTAAATCCCCATCTGCAGTGCTGCAACTCCTTAAGAGACTCGAAAAAGCTGTATAAAAGGAGGAGTTCCTCTGTGAAAGCACCCAGCCTGCCCACAAGAGAGAAAATGGCATAGGTCGGGAGAGGACTGTTACTGCCCTGCCAGGTGATGCTGAGCAGATCTAGAGCTGAGCGGATCCAGAGCTAGACTGCCATACGTTGGCTGAGGACAGAAATGTGGGGTTTGCAGCACAGCTGTGTTTTGAGGTGCACCGCAGAAACAGGGGGAGCAGGGACCATCCAGCCAACGTGCAGGCAGAGCATGTCCCCCGCAGCACAGAATGGGGGTGCCTGACAAAAGCTCTGCAACAAGGCCTGCTTTTCCTTCACACTGGTCTGTGGGAGCCTGTGCTCAAAGAAAGACTCCAGCCAAGTGTTGTTCAACTTACCCCATCCCTCCCTTGAGGATAGAGGTCCCCCTGAACTGTATTACTCAAATTCTTACTTTTACTCCTTTGCTCAGGACTGTGCTCCTGTTAGTAACTAAGCAAATATACCAATCTGTACCTTCCTCTAGGGCAGTTCAAGAGAGCAGGGTTTGGCTCAGAGAACTACAACAGGAATTGTTGGACAAATGTTTCCCGTATCCTCTCCTGCTCATAAACAATGTGTCCTCATGACACTAAGACCACAGAGCTGCAGCTTTTGCTACATTTGTTAAAAGAAGTTGACAGTTAGAAACATGCTTACTAAAATAAATTTACTCCTCTTTAAGAGGACATTTTTAAAATATAATACTGTGCATATAAAAAAATGTGGGAAAGGCTAGCTAGTTATGGCTGCAAAGGTTGCTTCTGGAAAAGAAATAAGTATTTTCTTCGTTCTCAGTTATAGCTGTTTGGGAGTGCCTTGGAGGAACTTCAGTTTTTCAATTTGTTAAGGCTTGTTATCTGAAATTCCTTACTTTTCTACACCCCTAGTGACTAAGCAGGTTTTCGTGATACTCTTAACCTAAATAACCACCCATGGTACAAACTTACATGAACTTGTCTACCCTATTGTTTGTTCTTTGGCTGCTAGTAACTTTCAAAAATATTATTCTTTCCAGTTGTTTTTTGTTGTTCTTGGTTGGTTGGTTAGTTGGGGGTTTTTTTGGGGGGGGGGTTGGTTATTGGTTTTTTTCTCCCCTGTCTTTCTGTAACGCTCCATGAGCTGTTGAGTCACCTATCTGTAATAATCAACTTAAAGCCTCTATTTTTTGCTTTGGCTTATGTAGCTGACTTCATCTGCAAAGCATTTTTTGATATTCACTATGAAAAACACTGGATGAAAGGAGATGTTTCACTGGCAGGCAATGACAATGCAGACAAAGTAAAGCAAACACAAACTTTCTGCCTCATGCATTGCTCGTTCTAACTTCTGTATGTAAAGAAACTAGTTCAGAGCTAGTAAAATTGTATTGCAAGAAACTATCTTCCAGCAACAGGGAGGCAGTGACAGAAACTATTCAGGGTAAGGAATGTCAAATCAAGTGGCAAGACTTTACAAGGCAGATGGCATCAGTGGCTACCCCTGTTTTCTACTGGTCTCATTTTTTGCCATTCATCCGAACCGTGGCATGAACAAAAAAGTGACTGGGATCTCTGATACAGGCTATAAATGCTGAGTGGCTCCTTTACACTTATGGACATAATGTAGAATCTGAGTGAAGCCAAAGGGAAAAAACAAATGGAAGGGTAGGCAGAAAGGAAGAAGGATTATGTCCTAGATTATTTCTTAGGGAGATAAGAAGAGAGTAAACATATCCCATGGAATGATGCTGCTAGGCCATCCCAGATGGCAGGAATGTGCAACAGGATTTACTAAGATGGATGAAGAAAGTCCCTTGGGCATGTTACCAAATTCCAAGATTTTTTTTAAATTTAGACCCACTGGGAGATGGGAAACAATCACTGAGAGAGGCAATGGCAGCCTCAAAATGGCATACTGTAGTGTGAGAAAATGCCAGGCTTTTAGGTCAGTCTAAGACATTCTGACAGCTTTCAGGGGACATTAAAGAAAGAAAGAAAAAAAAAAACAAAGGAAAAGGAAAAGAAAGCAGCATCAAAATTCCAAGATTGTGGAATGTGAGGTTACTCCAAAGCACCCAGAACCTCTGTAAGCAGCATCAACCACATTTCAAACAGCAGCCTGCAAAATTACTTAAATTTCCTCACAACAGGAGGGATTCTCATCAGCACATAAGCACAGCAGCCACCCTTAGCCAGGTTGTCAGTCACCCAGAAAAACGTGCTGCACAAGACTTTGCAGCATCTGAGAAGTCCTCTATTGCAACCACATCGCAGTTCAGAAGGATTTCTCTAAAAATCTCCTTACTGCTATTGTTCTGAGAATGCCACATGGCCTACCAGCAATGAACCTTCACAAGCAAAGTCTTGGCAAGTCCAAGATTCCAGAATAAATTTACAGTTTCTGGTGTTGATACCAACTCTGGAGGTGTCTAAGTAGACTACTGTGCATAGGGAGGAATTGTTAGGAACAATTATCTGTCCTTTTACTCATTTAAAAATAAATCCAGTTCAGCTTCCAAGTCAAAGTGAGGAGTGGCATCCCTACATGATGTCTTTTTCTGCAGTTTTAAAACCTCCTCAAATGGTGCCAATATAATTTTCCTTGTTTCCTATCCCATCTGATAGAAAACTCTTCCCATGGGGGGAGGGAAATCAAAACAAAACACCCCCTCCCTGCCCCACCACTTATTTTGAGTGCCTGAGGGAGAACATTTTCAGACTACCTGTTGCAAGGCTTCCAGCCCTCCTTACCCTCAGAAGAACAAAGGCCATTGCTTCCCCCTTCTCCTTCCACCTGCAGACACTCGCTGGCCCTCACCTCACTGGCTGTCCTGCTAACCACCTCTGCCAAAGTCCCATGTGATCCCCTGAATTGTGAGATTCGTCCCAGTTAATTATAGTAAACAACTTCTATCACACTTTTAACCTCGACATTTTGAAGCTTACTTACATACAGTCTTACATGATCAGACAGGCTATTGAGCTAAGAACATCAAAATTTGCACTCCCTAAAGCTTAGTGGAGAAATGCCAGGAGCCTGGGGGGAAATTATGCATTTGCCTGTTTTACATAATGATTTGCATAATTAAAAATAAGTTCACATTATTATATCTGCTTGCATTTCTATCAGTCTGATAGATTACTCTCAATTGCATCTTGTTTGAGCTCACCAAAGACATCTAGTCTTTCTGTAAAGAGAGAGGAGAGCCTGGTATTTCACAGGCAGGGAGTGGGGAAGGCAAGCCCCTGCCCCCCCCCACGGAACAATTTGAAATTAGATTGAAG